GGCATGGCGTTCACGTGTGCTATTTCACCCGCGCGATTGACTCAACTTACGACCAATTATAAGGCGTAATTTATTAATACGAGTGTTATAGTGACAATTAAGAGATGAATATTTGTTATTTTATGTGGGAGCGGTGCAATAAATGTACAAACTCAGCACGATGAGCGTCTGAAAACGTTTGGTACTGTAGAAATGCTATACGTCAACATTCTCAGCGTGTGTTGGATTGGTTCTTAAAACTTTTGCAACCGTCTTCCATTGAGATGGATTATTTATAATTTCGAAATTGGTGTTAAATGGTTGGTAACTAGATTTCTTATTAAAGAACATCATAGAATAACTATGAATTATTATGTTTGTCCTGCATGAAAATAAAATGAATAAAATTACTACAGACATACAGAATCAATTTATTTGTACTCCTCTGAATTTGAAAGAAGATTAACGAATTCGTAGACCATTGCTAACCTGTATGTAATTTGGTATGGACGTCTCAATAGTTATGAGACGAATGCACATGTGCAGCTAGTGTACAATAAACATGTGCTTAGAGAAAGTTGTAACAAACAATTTTCCCTCTTTAAGAAAAAAAAAAACTGAAACAAAATGCGAACCCTGCCATCAGATTTTTCTTAGTTAATAGTAGATTGTATATGTAGACTAGTCAACTAAACATTTACGAAAGAAACAACGAATTTGCTAGAAATCTTTGAAAATAAATTAAATAATGAGTTTATTCCTTCAAAACAAATAAATACAAAATAATACAATCACTTTGAACTACGTTGCCACATTATCCAGTAATCGTGGCAATCGTAAAACAAAAAATTAAATAATTTTATTTACAACTGAGTCCAGTCTCTTCCCTTGAAAAATACAAGTTGCCGCTCTCTGTGGCGTCTTAAGTATAGGAATATAAAATTAGAGCTTAAAAAAAAAATTAAATCCTAAAGTTAACAGAAATACTCCTATAACTAAAAATGTATTGCCTCTTCGTGAAATGGAAAGCAAATTTGAAATTACAAAAACTTCACGGATTTATTTGAAGAAAAAAAAGTAAAAGAAATATTATTTGAGTTCCTTGGAGGAAATAAACCGCAGCCTTGTGCCACAAATCTCAATTTCCACAAATATTTTTGGTTGAAACAGTTGGATATGCTACTAGCTTAATAGTCAGCGTATTGGACTTTACGGCGTGTGATATGATGAAGAATAAAGACCTATTTCCCTTTAGAGCTTGAGTTTCTCCCTAAATAAAACGCCCTAAATAAAAATATACTACTCACTATTCACCTAGAAAAAATAAACCGCAGATACTTCTATTGATGTAAAAGCAATTGTAGATATCAACTTCAAACAATTCTCCAGTGTTGCCCACGGACAAAAAAACGACCTCCAGTCTAGTCTACAAACTCGCTAAACACCGCCGCACCGCTAGGTGAGAACCTCTTCCAAATTACAGTGTTCACAGCAATGCCACAGCCGTTTAACCTCCCCCCCTCTCAGACAGACTTACAATATTTTCACTCCAATTTATCGTCCAAGCTGTAACAGTTGTACTGTCAGACCAAATAAGAGCTCGGGACGGTTTTAATTGTTCATAATTCGAGCAGTCCATTCCGCCTGAACCACACGTTGTCTTCATTAATGGGATATTACCCTGACAACAAAATAGTACGGAGGAAGTTGCTAGCATGTGTTCATATTCGATATTCCAGTTTGTGGTTTGGACAGTGTGAGCTGGTGTATAGCCGATTTACGTTACGAAATGTTCAAACACCCAACGTAAAGTTTATATACGAAATTGTAAATAAATAAATATTTGAATTTAATAAGTAAAAATGAATATCGTAGTATATTGTTTTGAGAAATCCAACTTTGGTTCTTGTTAACCGATGGCTAACAACTATTACTCATTCCATTCTAAAAAACATAGATAAACATAGTAAAGTAAAACACAAGTCTGCATTTTTAAGTCAGGTGACAGGAAAAACTTCGTGGATGAAAAGAGTTTACTGCATATGAGTAAATTAAAATAAACTAGATGCTAAAATAAATATAAATAAACGTATGGCTGAACAAAAGTTTAAAGCAATTTAAGTATAGATTAATTTTTTTGAGAATTGATCCACTCAATTACAACTGATTTTAAATTATCTCATAACTGAATAGGAAAATCTTAGTAATCCTACTCTCCCAAAAGTATTCATTCATAAAACAAAATAAACATTAAAATAATAACAATAAAACACCCTCACAATTAAAACTAAATAAGTACATCGATAACAGTAAAATAATCATCTCAGACAGTGACTAACAACAGTCAGGTATATCAAGGTTGTCTGCAGGAGGCACATAACAAGAAACCCCGCGGAGACTTTGCAGATCCTTGGTACAGACGGTTAATGATTGGTCTTTGCGAGATTTTTAAAATAAAAAATGAAGTAAAAATAAATGAAATAGCTTTCCAAATACAGTACAAATGGTTATAAATGCGAGAATGTGTGTCTGCTTTTTATCTGTAACAGACATTGAAGAGTTTTTGAAAGTACCTTGAAATACTTTTCCAAATTCAAATCCATCGGTTTCTCCTATTCAGTTTCGAATGGGTAAAATAGTTGTAATATATTTGTTCCTATGAAACATAATTTTGCATCCTTTTGGGTCCTTCCACCGCCCACCTAAAAGCTGCGCCAGACTTTCGTCCCGTTGGCAAAATTTGATCTAAAGAACTTTTCCACCTAAAATGTTCATAAAAAATTTCCGTCGCTTAATAAATGAATATTTCACATTGCCCACCCCCTCCCCATTCCTAAAATTTCCTCTTTCAGCATTCAAGATTCAAGACCTGCTGTAATCTGTGTTAAATTTGATAACCGTTAAAATAGTTTCCTTGCGACAAAGACAGCAAAGTCATCAATCAGATTAATTTTTACAAAGATTCTTGAATCATTTAAAAAAAAGGTCCCGTCCTTCTACCAAACATACTTCACCATCCAAAGCAGTAGAGTCTGATAGTCTTGGCAAACTAATCAAAACCAATCATGCATTTCAATTAATCAATCGTCTAATGACATACAATAAAACAAGATTGAGAACAAAGTATAATTCAAACGAACAATCAAAACGTCTTGTAACCAGAGGCACGGACGAAGCATTGATTGCAAAACAAAGATGATATCACCAATACGTCATTATGGGTTATTGTCTTGTCATTGTGTATTATGACTTCTACAATAGGTGTTAGGACCTTGAGAACTGTTATTTCTTCACAAGGGTTGTAAAAGATTGTAAACATTGGATAAAAACTTGCATCATTGATAGTACTTCTTTGTGATTTAGTGTGTGTTTAATAGCTGCTCAAAGTGTCTGTAGACTTTTCCAACAACAATTGATTATGTGAAGTATTTAATACAAAAAATTGACTCTTATGGGAAAATGGTATTGCTTTTGAATGTCTGAGTAAGAGTTCTTTTATCAATTTTCAGTTTGCTTGATACTAATTGATCTTTAGATAGCTTAAATTGGAGTAGAATGAGAAAGGGACACCGATTATTTGACAACCTTGATCCAAATATGATGTTCTTTTAGAATGAGAATTCTTAAAATCATCACATGATAAATCACCTTTTAAAATAGAAAAATAAATTAATTAACACAAAGTTCTTTCACACATTTTTTTCTTGTATTCTTTGCTTTTTATCATTAAATCTCTGATTTCTGCAACCACTTCATTTTCTTTGAAAAATTGTTTTGTCGTACAAAATATTTGGATTCCCAAAAGGGAACAGATGTAAGATAAAATTAATGACTTTAAACATTTCATTCCTACATCATTTAATAGTACTTTGGTTGATTGGTTTCAGTTTCCAAAAACTATTATAATATTATACTTTTCCGACGTTCTACACGTTGATCGCCCTCCACGACTACGATGCCCCCTTCACCAGTCAAAATACGGCACGATGAACCCGTCCAACATCACTGGCTATTTAGCATTTCGTGATTTGCTGACAGCCACGCCAAGCTACTTTAGGCTAGACATGTCCATTGCCCGCGCATGTCTTGCCAATTTATTTGCTTAATTAGTTTTGTCTGGGTCCGTGCAAGTAAAATAACCCGGGGTGCGTGAGTCACTAATGTCTGCTCGAGTCCGCTGGCATTTATGGCACGTCATCTTTGCGTTAAACACTCCAGGTGTGAGGTTTTAATTGGTCTGGATGAAAAAGTTGTCAGTGAACGAGTAAATAAATGGGAATAGTGGCTGTTAAGGTAAAATGTGACATGGTCATTATTGTCTGGCAAGCTTTTTAAGTCGCCTACAGTTGGGTTCTTCTAAACTGTCTGACGTGAAGAATTCATTTTTACAACAATAGTTGGAAGAATCTAGTGCATTTTATCGGTTTCCCAATATATAGCAATATAGGTAAAAATAAATTGAAAATGTATCAACATTTTTACAAAACTTAAAGTTCAGTTATCGAGTATCTTCGAGAAAATTAAACTACATGCAAGTTCTCCAAATCAATGACCTAAACACTCAATGCTTCTTGTTGATTGATTATTCTTCAATTTAATCAGAAACAAAAGTGGATTCCAAATCCAAACAAATCCGTAACAAATTCAGCTAGGGAAACATGCAGGGACCGAAGCAAGATCCTTGCAAGACGCCGCGCGCGGTTGCTGTTTTCGGCGGGGGATTAGCAGAACCTCATCAATCAGAACGTGTCCTTGCATACGCACGTTGTCTGCTATCGCAGCATTACGCGACCCTTCGTTAGCGCGATTGTGAGTGTGCGTGTGTGAGTGAAGGACCCCACAGCACTTGTCACCAGTGATGGATCTGGCCACCTTGGTATTCAAGTGAACTGCGGGGTGCGGGAATATTCTTGAGGAATTTCATGGCTTGAAATTTAAACCTGGTAATTGAATAGGTAGAAACTAAGATTCAAATATTCTGCAAACTTGTTTCACTGGCTGACAATTTATTTGTTTTCCAGACGGACCGAGGATGGAGAAGTCACCCCTACTCGCAAACGGGTACAACCACCCTCCGACCCATCTGAACCACATGCAGTTCATGGGTCTGGGTCAGCATCCCCACACGGCCATCCTCAACCCAGCCCTTGGTCACCACCCGGGTCTGCCGCGACCTGACGGGTCCATCATCAAGAACCAACCTTTACCCGCCATGGACGCGATAGCCAGGTAAGACATTCTTGGTGGCAAATGTTCAAGTTACGAGTCTAGAATGGTCTGTATCTTGTTATTTAGAGAAAGTAAAGAGAGATTAGTACGACTTGATCCACCTCCAAAGTTGTTTAGATGGTGCACATTACATATATATAATTACCCTTTTCCCTTTAATTCATCAGAAGTTCCATTTACATCCCTTGTGAATAATTAGCAATGATGGACACGTGGAAGACGTAACGTGATCCGTAGAAACAGTCGATTCAGCAAGTCGACCTGAAAGTCTGTTGTCTTAACCCTGCGTATGGCTTCACCAGAACTTTTGTCTAATCTCGTTAGACAATCCAATTGGTCGTCTTACGAGGCCTCCATTACCATTTGGACGTCTCTACTGTTGAAGGTCTTCCTTTCCTTCACCTATCTTGACAAATAAGCCTGACTGTCTCTTTTGCATTTGGGTGATTAATGACCCCACCGTAGAATACTTCTTGAAAGTGTTCTTTGAGTATAAATTTCTCAGTTTGTCATAAGTGCAGCTTTTAGACCAATAAAAACCAAGCGTAAAAGAAAACATTCAAAATTAGTGAACTCATTTCTCAAGGTTCTTTCCTAAAGTATTGATCCAAAATTACTTTAATGACAGCCTTGGAGCGAATATGATTGAATAATCCATCAATTCGCAATCAGAGGGCGTCCTGCGCTCAACTCAGATCAAAGGATTATTGTAATTAAAATGCAAATCATTCGAAGAACTAAGTTCTTGATGTAATTCAGAGAGGCAACACCTCTGTGATAAATTAAACATTAATTCAAAACGAAGAAATTTCTCGTTCAGTTAGTTCTTTGATGATCATCGAACATGATCTATTTCAACATCGTAAATATAGTTATGTAAGGTAGGCGAACAAAGAATATTTAAAGAGAAAACAACTGAACTCCGTTTTATTCTAATTTTACGAATCAAGATAATGTAAATTACGTGATTGGGGGTAAATGCTATTTCAATAAGTTTTGGTCAGTTTTACACAAAACAACCGCGTACTCTTATAGAAATATGGGAGTGCCTCTAAATACCAGGTAAAATACATTCATTCAGGGACACTCCCATATTGCTTAGGGTATAGTAATTGTTGAAAAAATATACAAGACCTCTTAACCTAATTATGTACTACAATATCTGTCTAAATCCACTACATTTCTTCCACCCAGACCTCTCAGACAACTAGGAACGTTTAGCAACAATAAACCATTGCCACCAACAAGCTACAATTGACTTGGTCTATCTACAGTTGAATTGCTCCTTCCGTCGACCAGCCGCCGACCATCGCTCACACCTAGGTTACCGGCAACAGCTAATGTTAGCCATAGTTAGCTAACTACTGCCACTTAGCTAACTACGGCCGTACACCACCTTACTAGGCCAGCGTCCATGGCATGATTTGATGCGTGTATAAGGGTAAAAACACAGTGGAGCAGGGCAGGTAGCTGGTAGCCTGGCTGGTCGCTTACTCGCTTAACCGCTGGTTACCTGGATGGTAGCTGGGACATACACACAGTGGCGCTCAGTACAGTCGCTTGTCAGCCGCCGTGTCGAGATGGCGAGTTCTAGTGACGAAGAGTTATTGCTCGATAGTTCAGGATCTAAGTGGTTTTTACTAACTCAAGTAAGTGAACGCGAGTGTCAGGTTCATCCTGTCAACAAGGAAAGAAAGCAGCATTTTTGAACATGAGCTAAATAACATATCCCAATACATTTGTCGTCAAATAAATATGCTTTACTATACGTATAATTGATTTTCTACCTCATCAGTCATCATTGCTGGTCACTATTATCTATTGAACATTATCTCTATAGTCTGTTAATATCACATCTATCCACATACATACCAAGTTTTATTTGCATAAATTCAATGACAAGCTTTTTTAATATTTTAATTATTATCCATCAGAATAACATAGTGGGATTGGCTTGGTTCCACAAAGGCACACGAATAAAAACCTCCGATATTAATTTGTCTACGTCCATTATTTTATTTCTTGCAAACAAAACAACAACCAAATAAATCGATAAAAACAAACAACACTCCGTATACAGAGAATGCGCAGTGAAAGATCCGGCGTGGAACTAGCGAACTCGAGAACACGTGGCTGTCAAGTTCTGCTATTTGCGCATGCCCCAGTCGAGCCATCCCCGCTTGCAGCGCCCAAACAATCGACTTGGCAATTCTTCTAGCTTGCCGCCTAGCTTACTGCTACCATCTCGGCTACCTGCTAGGCGCGACTGTGTGCGTACCCATAACAACGCGTGCGTTAATTCTACATAGCAGTAAGCGAGTAAGCGACCTGCTAGGCTACCAGCTACCTGCCCTGCTCCACTGTGTTTTTACCCTAAGATATGGCTGTGTAATAGCGGGTGTTTATTTTACCAAGGTTTCCAATATGGAGAACAGCTTGTTCATAGGATCTTAATATGATTTGAAATGTTTGGAAGTGGGTTTTGCTTGTTGGTAAAAATTATATGTGTAGATTGTGATGAATAAATTCTTAAGGTCCAAAAATATGATGATCTTAGAAATCAAATAGACAAAAAACAGTTTTGTAAGTCTTAAGCTGGAATTTGATGCAATTTGTCTCAAAATATACTGAAGAAAAAATAACTTTATCTGAACATAAAAAAATGCAATGCTGAGGCATCCTGAAGATAATCATGTGTAAACAATTACATTTAGTTTTTTCTAATTTCTTGAAGATTAATTTGCCTACCTTTAGTAAGACCTGGCTCATAGAAAACTAAATGTAAATAGCATCAGTAGCAGTCGTTTTTTCAGGAGGTGACCTTTAATCAGCCTGTTTGTCCCGAGAATTACTCTTTAATCAGAATCGCCTTTGAAAAACTTCTTGACAAATTATTCTTGAACCGATCAAAGAAGGTTGGTGATTGAAAACGAGACAGCGTCTGATTATCAACTAAACGAAAGACGAAAAAGAGGAAAGAAGTAAAAAAAAAGTTATTAATTCCGTCCTGAAATGATCAGCGGAAGAGTAACTTTGAAGGGTGTTTAGGGATGTTTTAAGGGTAGTTTTTGATGTGTCTTGATGTCTCGATGTGTTTTGTTGGCTTTCTTTAGTGAATTTTACCTTTTGTTGTCCTTTTTTTGAAAATCCTCTTGAGTTTGAATTGTATTCTGATGTTACCGTATCATTACATAGAGGTATTTAGTTTTCTCTATAACTGGTTTCGGTTGGTAAGTAACTTTACCAAATGCAGTCAGGTGTAGTTTTAATTATTTTTTTTAAGAATTATGTTTTGTGTTTGTCAGTAAATTGTGTTGTGATCAATATTTTAAAGTTTAATTTGTATATCAACTGCTTATTTAATTCATACAACTTCTCAGAATGGCTTCTTTTTGGACATAAAACGGCCATCTCTCTTCAAGTCCTTGTATTTAGGAGAGCTTCAAAATTACAAAATGCCAATCTGTGCATAAAACTGTTTGTTTTGCGCAGATCGGGAATTTGGGAGAACTGTCGAGCTGCCTACGAAGACATCGTCAAACACTTGGAAAGGTAGGAAACATACAAATTACATTTGTAGAGAAATTTGAATAGAGTAGATTTTGACTTATTGAATTAAGTACATATTTAGCAGGAGAAAATGATTATAATATTCACAATGTATACATGTATACGATGAGAGAGATGGCCGTTTCGATCGATCCTGGTGATTATTTTGTTTTTAAAGGATTTTTTTCATTTATGTTTTTTTTTTTACTCAAATACCAGTGGTAGTTAGTGGTTTGTGGTTTTTAATACAGTTAGTGGGTTATATGCTGAATTATTAACTTCTATGAACAACTAATATTATATTCTATTCTGTATATTCTTACTGCAATGGATTAGAAATTGGAGGAATCTGTAGTAAAAATATATTTAAACACTTACAAGAATTGAAACTATCATGTAACTGACTGCTAGTAAATTTACGAAGAAGTCGGCAGGTAATAAACGTACTCAATAATTTTATTTCTGATACAAAATACAATTTATTCACCTAAGCACACCATCGACAAGATTCACTTCTTCACAATCGAAAACACGGATCAGTTTGTCGCCTCGGTGCCGACAATATCACTTCATAACTACCGATAACCGACTGGACATTCCATCAACTTTTTCCATCGAGGCGTAAGAATTTTATTTACAGCCCCTAACTGACTTTCGCCCATCGGATGGACGTCATTTCGCGACATAAGTCAATTTTAAATTGTCAATCTAAATCTAAATTACTGACTTCAAAACGTCTGGTCAATCAAGACGCGTTTGGCGAGAAACTCATGCATTTAAAGTGAAATATTTTGGACGGAAGGGCAAACTGAGGGGAACGGTCGGTGTTATGATTTATCTGTACAACTTCTTCGAATAACACCTTAGCTGGGCAAAGTGTGATTGATTCCTGGTCAAGGTAGGGAATGATTGCACACGAATGAGCCAAAAGTATTGACTGTGGCTGTCAATCTATGTGTCTTTATTCAGTCTCGTGCTAGTTGTCATTTGATTTATTTCCTATTCTAGTAAACAATAAACATTCATCACATTTAGAGGTATAATTAATCATTGTGTCAGTATACACATAGAAAATCTATATATTGTATTTACCACAATTTTTTGCAATTTTAATTACCGTACTATCTTTTCACCTACTAACCTTTTCCTTCTTTCACCCCACTCTTTCTCCTCAATTTCCAAACATCCTCCAAGTCAACCATGTTTGTCAGAATTTTCTCATTTCCCAAAACTCCTCAGAATCAGCTGATTGTGTAACATTCGGTCGAAATTCAAAAGTCGTAAACCGAGCGATTCGAAGCGTCTGACTGTTTAGCATTTTGAAATTATATTAGAACCGTCTCAGCTCAAATTTGAAACGTCGGGCCGAGCTCAATAAACTCTGATTTACTACAATTCATCTCCGGATCCTACACAATAATGTTCGCTTTTGTAAAAAAACTCGAGGTACCTTTATGAGCAAGAGGTGGATTTCCAAAAATATTTCAGAGCAATGCGACAGGTGATGGGTCGGGATGAGCCATTCGTATGCGGCCGGGAGCATAAAGTTTTTATTACCCTCAAGTGTTAAAATGCTACCCACTGGACATCGCTACGAGTTGCACTTTTTGATTACTTTCGGTTATGACCGGTTTGTTGTGGTTTAACATATTTACTTCTACGCTAGTTTGTTCGCAAATATGTTTCACTCATTGTAACTCTGTGTAAATAGATAATGATTTTTTTGCGTATATAAATATAATGTTTATCTTGGTTCAATATTAATTTTTTTCAAGATGTTTTGTGGCTTCTTTTAACCTTGAATTTCCGTCCAAACAGACTTTAGGAATGTGCATGGAACGTATCGAGCAAAGAATGAAATTAAGTGTAATTATGCATTTTAAGTGTTAGCAAACCAAGACATTGCTGCCTTAGTTTTTCGGTCCTCCACTCTACTAACTAACCGAGCCAGGAGTTACTACAAGTTATATTTTCCGTATATAGGAATCTGTGTATTGTTTTATCTACGTACCATTGGGGTTTAACATTTCCATTTCACAACAATTCAAACTATCATAATCAAATTTCCACTATAACTTTGCAATCTTTAAATTTCCAAACACCCCACTGTAAAGTCGATTAAAATCCTCCAAGGGAGAAAAGTGATCTTTTGAAACGACTTGACGTGTGAAATAAACCCGGATTTGCTCACATATTAAACTCAGTCGCTATTGATATGAAAATCGACACTTACGATTTTCAATAGAAAGGCGCGACCGGCGTGTGGCACCGTCCATGATAAGACCGTGTCAGTGTCAATGTGAAAGAAGGATGCCACAGTCTCAGCAGGGTGCGGTCTTTGTGGATTGAGGTTCTAAGGGAGATTATTGAAATTCAATAAATATAAAATACTCCATTTGACTTTTCCAAATCGTTATTCATTTCTAACAATTATTAATCAGTTTCTTCACGATGTTCATTGATTAACTGATTCTATTCAGATTTTTTTTAATGAAATGGTTGTTAAATAGGGGTTTTGTTTTTTTCTGGATGTAGTATTGGAGGTTACTGAAGTTTAAGTTGAATAATTTATATTAGTTATTTGGGTAGTTTGATCGTTGTATCGTTTGCGTGATTGATCGTTCTTGGAATGTTGTGTGATTAATTTTTTTCTAGAAACGAGAAAATAATGATGGAGATAATATGCTAAAGGTGTAAAGTGGCGTATTTTATAGGTAATCGTAAGAGTAATGAGTCAGAAAGAGTTAATAAAGGAAAACATTTTTTTTAAGTTTACTTGTATTTTTAAACATAATCTTACATCCTTGCAGTATGAGATAAACAGCTATTTTTATAAGAATAGCTTACTGGTTCAACAACATTACTGAAAGTGACACTGTAGAAAATCCACAAATTTAAAAGTCCAATTCGCACGTTGCAAGAGAAATGTAAAACCAAGGGGACAAGCGGTGTAAATTATTTCAAAGTGTCAAATCCAAAAGCGATTCTTCACAATCGTGGGTAACGCTATTTTCCAAACACCTCGAGATTTTGCAAAGTAATGGAGACTGAAGTAGACGTCCACACAGGGGGATCCGTTGTAAAGTCTAAATACTCGTCCGGTCATTTATCAAAACGCGGGACATCGCGAACTGCCATGTAAAGACGAGGATGGTGTGTTTTAAAAGTCCCTAGTCGGCGAAACGCAGTGTCTAAGATGTTTAATACTCGAGTAGGGGGGGGGGGGGTAAAGTGGATTTAAAGAACAAGTTACAACAGCTGTGGCCCCCATTATTATTAACCCCCCCCCGTCCAAAAGCCGCCCTTTTGACAAATGACAATTCAAGTTTGATGTCCTCAACGCCCGCGGCGCTTTCCTTTTTAACTTCCATTTTTCAATATAACGGAATTGCTCCGGACAGGTAGGGTGGGCACATGGCGCCGGGAGGTTTTCAAATTTGTATTATTAATTGTTCCCGATATTGAAGATCCCAAAACGTGTCGCCCGGGCACGTCGGACGATACCTCAATTAATTCTCAGACTAACTGATCGTTTTATCTTCTTGCTCGGTTATTAAACGGTTTTTAATTTCACCAGAAGGGTGATTTTACTTTGCATCAGTGAGGTCAATTGGAAAAAGTTGATCAATCTTAAAATCAAGTTGTTGTATTCAAACATTTTTATATTTTGTATCTGTATGCTGCTTCTTTTCCCGCTTGTTTTAACTTAATAATAAAGAAAACCAATATAATAATACAAAATAGTTTGGAATGACGTTCATAGCTCAAAAACGTGTTTACAATATTCTTCATCTTAGTGTTCGCAATATCGATAGAACTTGTATCACTTATAGATTTGAAGTTTTAACACAAATAATAAAATAGATAAAAACTGTCATATTGCTCTCAAGCCGTTTTCAAACCTTAACTGATATTAGCTGAAACAGTCGATGCAATGTTTTCAAGCCAACCGGGATTAAATTGGAATATTAGAAAATCATGGACAAATTTTCCCTTTCATGGGGGATACAATGGCATACGTTGTATCGATCACAATAGACGTTCGAAACACCAACCAAACAAATCTTCAGCTAGTCTTGGGATTAAACAGGGTACACTTGTTAAACACAGAACATATTCAGAGGCAAACATGCATATTAGTGATTTTAGTCAATCCAGGGAAAATTTCCGTTTAGCCGGGATACAAAGGACACTGAGGAATCACAACAATCGAAATTGCAACAACCGAAATAGCAAAAATTTAAATCGCAACAATCGAAATTGCAACAATTAAATTGCAACAATCGCAGGCGCAACGATCGATATCGCAACAATTTAAATCGCAACAATCGAAATCACAACCACCGTAATCGCATCGATTACAATCGCTACAATCGCTACAATTGCTACAATCGCAGGCGCAACGATCGATATCGCAACAGTTTAAATCGCAACAATCGAAATCACAACGACCGTAATCGCATCGATTGCAATCGCTACAATCGCTACAATTGCTACAATCGCAGACGCAAGACGTAATGATGTGGGACCCGACATCGGGACGTTGAATGATTAACGAGCAGTTTTATGAAGGCGTCGTGGCGCTGTGATTGATCTACTGAGGACAAAATTAACCCCCTCCCCCCCTCCCCCCTCATCCCACATGGCATCGCGACGCTATGATCGCAGTTAGCACCGCTAAGTACTTCCGCTGTACAAATTGGCGGGAAAATCATTCTGTCACTCGGAACCCGGTGATGGATTGGCGGTAAAAAGTTTGCGGAAGAAGAATTAGGAACCGAGGATTTCATCTAGTTTTATCGATTCGATTGAAGTACCTGTACAATATTTGGCAGAATTGTAAAATGAGAGTTGCATTTTGTTTGCATCAGAGTCATATATTAACCCCAGTCTGTGATTACGAACATATTACATTTTTATATTGTGATAACACCCATAAATATATGCTCGTTTTCGTGTATTCAAATCACTACACATTCTGTTTCGGAAATTGATTCAGTACT